GCTGACGTTTCGGGCCTAGACCCTTCATCAGAAACGTCAGCCTCTCTGCTCCTATGATGCTGCTTGGCCTGCTGTGTTCATCCAGCCCTGCACCTTGTTGTATCAGAACTGGTGATGAGACAGGATAAAGTGGTTGACTGGGAGCAGATACCTGTAGCAAAATCTACATTTGAGCTAAGGGAGTCTTTCAAAAATGAAATACAAAAGTGCAGGGTCAACATGTTCCTGTAAAGGTGAAGAGTGAAATCAAATATTCCGGAGAACCCTGGATATGGAGGTACATAAAGAACTGGATAAGCAAAAGAAGGGAGGCTTACAGTAGATACCGAGGGATCAGAACACTAGAAGCCGTAGAGGCAGATAGAAAGGGCACGGAGTTACTTAAAAAAGGAAGCTAGGAAAGCAAAGAGGAGACATGAAAAAACACTAGTGGGTAAGACAAAGTACAATCCAAAAAGCACTTTGTAAGTATATTAGGAACAAGAGGATAATCATGGAAGAGTAGGCCCACTAGGGACGCAAGCAAAACTATGGGTAGAGCCAGAAGACAGGTTTTAAATGAATAGTTTACATCTGTATTCATGATAGAGAAGGATGTAATGTAACACCACTATTTAAAAAAGTGAGAAAACAATTATTTACCGGTTAGCCTGACATCAGTAGTGGGGAAAACGGCAGAAGCTATTACAAAAGATTTAATAGCAGGGCACTTTGAAAACCACGGTCGGATCAGATTAATAAATGCTAGCCACAGGGTGTAGTTCACATCATAAGGCTTGCAATAAGATCCCACATAAGAAAATAAAATTAAAGTGCATGGGACTGGGGTTACTGTAACATGGATAGGGAACTCGTTGGCAGACAGGAAACAGAGAAGGAATGAAAGGGTCTTTTTCAAAGTGGCAGGCAATGACTAGAGGGGTACGGCAGGGATCAGTACTTGGACCCCAGCTATTCACGATATAAAATGACTTAAGCGAGGAAACTAAACATAAATCTCCAAGCTTGCAGAAACATAAAGCTGGGTGGATGAACCGTGGAGAGGATGCAGGGATCCTTCAATATGACTTGAACTAGGTCAGCAAGTGGTCAAGCACATGGCAGATGAAATACAATGTGGATACAGGGGACCTTGATTTACAAACATGTGACTTACGAATGCTTATACATAAAATGGCGATTCCTTGCAGGATTGTAATTTTACGCATCTGCCTTACGATCACTTCCTGTATTTACACACGGTACTTTATATTGTCCTACATTCTGTACTCAAGTCGGAACACATCGACTGTGAGCAGACTCAAGAATGGAACCCATTGGCCCCCAGGGACTGCCTGTAATTACAAGGTTTATCCACTTCGGTGGCAAAAACAGGAAGGCACATTATTATCCGAATGGCAATAGATTTGGTAAGTGGGAGGTGCAATGAGTGGCTGAAAGTGAACATTCAGACACAACAGGTGATGAAGATGGCAAATGGTACATTGGCCTAAATAGCAAGAGGTTTTGAATACAAGAAAAGGGATGTCTTGCTGTTATCATACCCTTGGGTGAGACCACATCTGGAGTACTGTGTGCCGCTTTGATCTCGTTACTTTAGGAAAGATGTTCTGGCTATGGAGGGAGTGCAACAAAGGTTTACCAGACTGATTCCGGAGGTTGCAAGATGAATGTATAAAGAGAAATTGGATTAGAAAGGGCTATACTTGCTAGAGATTAGAAGAGCAAGAGGGAAATCTCAGAAGCCAATAAACTAACAGGACTAGACAGGGTAAACATGGGAAGGATGTTCCTGATGACCAGAGTCCATAACCAAGAGTCACAGTCTAAAAACATGGGGAGGGTGTTTTAGGGACTGAAAGGAGGAGAAATTTCTTCACCCAGAGAGTGAGCCTGTGGAATTCTCTGCCATAGAAAGCAGAGGTCAAAGAAGGAGATAGATACAGTTCTTAGGTCTCAAGGGATCAAAGGGTATGGGGAGAATGTAGGAACAGGGGACTGAGTTCGATGAACAGCCATGACTATATTGAATGGCAGAGCAGGGTCAAAGAGGTGAATGGACTGCTCCCATCTACGTTTCTATGAATTGGAATCAGGGAGAGGGTCTGTGATATAATTCAAAAGGGAGGATGTATTATCCAATTTTAAGCCTGCTTAAACTGCCAGATGTGGAGGAGCTGTATCCTAGGCTGCTGTGGGAGACCAGGGAGGAGATAGAAGGGCCCTGATGATTTTTAAATCTTAGACCATAAGACATGGGAGCAGAAATTAGGCCATTTGGCCCACCGAGTCTGCTCCGCCATTCAATCATGGCTGATAAGTTCCTCAACCCCATTCTCCTGCTTTCGTCCTGTAACCCTTGATCCCTTGAGACCTAAGAACTGTATCTATCTCCTTCTCTGGTCACTGCTAAATGGGGTTGCCCATTCATGACATGAGAGGAAATTTGATTTGGTGTATGGTGGGTCTTTGAAATTTTCTTCCTCCAAGGCAGTAGAAGCAGAGCCTTTTTGGAATATTTTTAAGGCAGAAATGGATAAATTCTTGAGAGTGGAAGGTCATCAGGAATGTAGGCAGAAATGTGGAACAGAGGTTACATTCTGATCTGCTATGATCTTATGGAATAGTAGAGTGGTTCAAGGGGCCAAATGGCCTATTCCTGCTCCTGATCTGTATATTCATATGTTCCCAATATCATTCATGATCAGCCCATAGCATCTAGATCAAACTCTGAACTATGGAAGCAACGCTTTTTCCATGTGCTCATCTTAAAAAGACTTGCATTTACGCAGAAGCTTTTGCAAGTTTCTGGATTATTGATTAGTTTTGAATCTTACTATTGTGGAGAACGTACTAGGCAAGTTGCACGAGGCGATGGCCTAGTGGCATTATTGCTGAACTGTTAATCTAGAGACCCAAATAATGTTCTTGAGACCTGGGTTTGAATCCTGCCATGGCAGATGTTGTCATTTAGATTCACTAAAGATCTGGAATCAAGCATCTAATGATAACCATAAATCTGTAGAGACCCAGGTGGGTTTTCACAAATGTCCTCCAGGGAAGGTGCCATCGTTACCTGGTCCAGCCTTCCATCCATTGACTCCATCTATACTTCCGCTGCCTCGGGAAAGCAACCAACATAATCCGACCCACACCCCAGTTATTCACTCTTTCACCCTCTTCCATTGGATGGAAGATACAAAAGTTTGAATACACATGAACAGATTTAAGAACGGCGTCTTCCCCACTGTTATTACACTTCTGAATGGACCTCTCTCTGCACCATCTCTGCAGCTGTAACACTGTATTCTGTACTCTGTTCTGTTACCCTGATGCAGTTAGCATGTAATGATCTACTTCCTAGGAGGCATATTTTTAAGTAGGACGAGAGAGATTTAAAAAAAAAAGACATGGGCAAATTATCTTTTTAAAAAAAAAAAAAGAGGGTGGATCAAGTGTAGAATGAATTTCCAGTGATAGATGCAGGTACAGTTACAACATTTAAAAGACATTTGGATAAGTACATGAACAGCAAAGGGATATGGGCTAGAAGCAGGCAAGCGAGACTCGGTTAGTCTGGAAATATGTTTGTGTGGACTGGTTGGACCAAAGAGTCTATTTCCATGCTGTATGTCTCTATAACACACAAACTACTCTTTAAAAACAGTTGCCCCTTGCATCCTTTTTAAATCTTTCACCTTTCAGATTAAATATATGCCCCCCAGTCTTGAAATCACCCACCATAAGGAAAACACACTCTGCCATTCACCTTAACTATACCCCTCATGATTTTAAAAAATGATACCAAGGAATGAACTAAGGAAGGTTGTTAAAATTGTATAAGCTTTTGATAGATGAGAGAGAAAGGGCATGTTTCCACTTATAGGAAAGAGCAACCCTGAAAGCCATCAAGATGATATCTAAGCAATCCAATAAGGAATTCAGGAGAAACAATAAGTATAGATAACTTCTAAGAAGCAATTAAATAAGCAGATGAGGGAGAAGAGAATAGAAGGTTTTGCTGGATAGTTAAATGGGGAGTATGATATGGAACGGTTGGAATGAGTAGCCTTTCACTTTTGCTTTTTTAAAAATTAGTTCATTCATGACAATGTAGGCATCATTGGCCATTTAATGACCATCCCTAGTTCTTGAGGACTTGTGGTAA